CCCCATACTCCTCGAAACATCAACATCTGGTTCCACGTGCATCTCTTTGATGCACTGCTTAATTAGAATTTTTAATTCCTCCACCCTCGAGAATCCCCCACATCTTCCCTTCATTAATTCTGGCGCACTAGACTCGAAAATATCATTTTGAAGACGATCCTAGCCATCCAAAGAGACTGCTTGTGAACAGACCAGATTCACCCCACGATCATCATCTTCCCCTCCGTCGAACTCCGGCGATTTGCTTCTCAGTAAACTTCTCTGAGCATCTTGAGGCAGCGAAACCTCTCCCTCATCTTCTAAGACCACAATATTTGAAATCTCCGAGCTCATTCCCTACAACCGGGTCTGATTGTTCACATGATTCTCCTACATCCAACTTCGAACTATTGGCAGGGATTCGGGCCAGATGCAGACTTCAAACAGCGACTCCCCCACAACAATCTTCACTTTTTCAGGAATATGACCGGATCTTCTCACCTTCATTCGAACCCACTCACAAGTTAATAGCTCCTCGGAGGAATCGTCAGTTTCCACAAAACCACCACACACATCCCCTATGGCTTTGATCACACTCAGACACCACAATAACAGGGGAAGACCAAAAACCCTAACCCAAATGGTTTTCGATCGATCAGAGTCTTCGCTTGATTTCGGATAGAAGCAACCAGCTCTTGCACCCCATTCTCCCCATTTGCCATGGACCCTGATTGAGGATCCATGCCGCCGCTGATCTCGACAAGAAGATAAACAAGAAGAGGTCATCAGCTAATTTCTTTATTCTCACTCCCCCCACATCCTTCCAGTATCTGCTTACCCAGTTTTCCACTTCTTGAAACCCTACCCTCCGCTGGAATCTCCCCACCAAGCAATCTCGCAGGAATCTCCTTCTAGCCTCAACACCTTGGACCTCTGTCACTATCACCTGCTTTTCCTCCACCTTCTTGATTCCTGACTGCCCAAAATCCGGCCAAACTCCAGCCGCAACCGCCTTACTGTAAGAGAAATGCGGTCTCCTCCTCGCCCCCTTCTCTTCACCCCTGTACCAGTTGCTAGCTTCCCATCTCCTCCCACCTCCCCGAACTCTCCGAAGAAATCTATAACGAAACATCTTCACCCCTAATTAGGAGATTCAATCATGGCAGAAAAGTCGAAACTTCAAAATCATTTACACAAGTAGCATTCAAACACTAATGAGACAGAGGGAGCAAACATGAAGAGAGATACATCTGCCTTTGAGTTTCTTTTGTAACACAAAATTTGCAAAGATTCTTCTATTCTCTCTTCTTTGCCTTCAAATAATCTCCTTTTCTTTTCCTCCCGAAGGCCCCAAAATGCAGTGAACATAACCTTATGGATAATAAAACCAAAAGGGAAATTGAATGAGAAGCAAAAGGAATAAGTGTTGAGATGGCACTCCAGCAAAGAACCTTATAGCCAGGAATAAAAACCAAACTAGAATGCATCTCAAAATCAATCATTTATTATAATATTAGGAGCACTCTAGAGGTTGTGCCACAAGCATTGCTTGCAATGTTCTTGAACTCCAGATAGTCCATAACCTAATTTAAAATGAGAGCCAACATCAGCATAATGTTTGTCACCTTTCTTCTTTTCCTTCCAAAAGACACCTTCTATTTCTTCCTTCCAAGTGCCCTCATATATAAACGAAATGATGCTCCAAAACAATTATGCCTTCTTGAGTCCAACAAATAATGGTCCACATGAAAAAATCTAATGAGGTTCACTAGGCCTGAACATTGGCTTCAAAAATGCAAGAAAAAGGAATGACCATATATGTAATTAACCACCTTACAATTAATGAAGAGGTGACACACATGTTTGTTCTTGTTACATATAAAACAGAGGGTAGCCATCTTAAATTCTCTTCTTCTCGAGTGATCAAACATTAGGATGCTATCCAATGAAAGAGGACAACTGAAAGTTTCCGAGCTGAGCTTAAGAAAACTGGCCAAGAACCTTCCACCATCTACTACCTAAGACTAAAAAAGACATACGTGTAGCTTCCAAGCTGCAAAAGATATGAATGCATTCCTCAAGTTCTCTCTCTGTTGAGGGTCTACAAAGTGCCAAATGCCACAGAACCTGGTAATTTCTGAACTCAAAGTGTAGGCTAAAATCTTTAGGAAGCAACTGACAGAGCAGATGATACAATTAAAGTCTTCCAATGCCACTTGCCACAGACTCAGCTGGCTAAAACCTTATTATTATGCCTTCATCAAGATAGAATTTAGAACATCCAGGAAAGAGTTGATGGACCTTCATATACCTTTTCAAACATAAACTCCATAAGTAGCAGAAACCTCTCCTGAATCCAAATAAAATCTTTTCATAAAATGTTAAAAAAATAAGCCTCCTCTGCAATGTATTCTTTTCCAATCCAACCTCCAAAATCACTTCTCCAACAATTCTTTTCTAATCAGTAGCTATGCTTTATTCATCCCCCTTGTACTGCTAAAGCCCAATTAACCCACTTTTATCGGTTCGCCTACCAAGTCCCACTTAACCAAGTGAAATTTCTTTTCAACAACTCCATCCAATCAATAGAAAGTCTCTTTGAATTTTTCCAATGTGATTAGCCACTTATCTCAAAAATTTTAAATCCATATATTAATAAACATCCAAGCAAGGAAATGCACTTTTTATCAGGGTATTCCTACCACCACAAGACAGTTACCTGCACTTCTAGCCTACAAGTTCTTTTCAAATATTGCAACCAATGGTTGCAGTAGACTGATTTCAGATACAAAAATTCTCTAAAATTGATGCAGAGGCTAGAGAGATCTCCCACTACCTGTTTATCTTAATTGATAATTAAGAGGTAAATTACAAGTACACCTTAATGAGATGGCAGCAATTAAACAAACAAGAAAACTGGCCCATGGGCCCAATAATAAAACATATTAACAGCCAACTTACTACACATAAAACAAATACAATATAAGGCCCAATAACAAATAAGAAAAAGGATGTCAGCCTGTCAACACTCCCCCTCAAGTTGGAACTTGGAAGTAAACAACTAGCATTCCCAACTTGCTAAAAGTAGTCTGTAACTTCAGCTGAGGAACTGCCTTGGTGAAAACATCTACTAGCTGGATCTATATTCATATGAGAAAGACACTTCCCCAAACACCACCCTCTCTCTAATAAAGTGACAATCCACCTCAATATGCTTGGCATGATCATGTTGAACTGGATTATTAGCAATGTTAATTGCTGCCTTCTCACAAGGTCGGTAAGAAGATTTAACTTTTTTTTTGTTTTTTGAGAAAAGGTCAGTAAGAAGATTTGAACTTATGACCTCTTAGTTATGTGCCTTAACCTACTCCCATTAATCTATTATGATATTTGTGTTCATTTATACCTTTTTAATATACTATATATAAGACTTGAACCCTGCTCACTTGTATCAAAAAAAAACAAGGAACTAACCATCTAGCCACAACTTAAATATGTATTATAAATTACAAAACATATTATATATATATATATATATTATTTATCTGACTAGCGATCAAACCGTTTAGCCTGTGAGCCAGCAAGTATTCCGGTTCTGTGTCCAGTCCAGTCCAAGTATGCCCTTAATCAACATTCAGCAGAAGCAATTAAACAAACAAGAAAATGGTCCATGGGCCCAATAGTAAAACATATTAACAGCCAACTGACCACACATAAAACTAAAAACATATTAGCCCTAATAACAAAAAAGAAAAGGAAATGTCAGCCTGTCAATAGTTCCCATATAGATAGGGGTGTCAATTGGACTGGATTTGGTCCAATCCGATCCAGTACAATGTGAGTCCATTATAAATGGACCAGGTCCAATCCAATCCAATGAATGTTTTGGACCAATTTGGACCGGTCCAATTCAATGTTTGGACCGTCTAATCTGTTCAAATTCATTTTGATTTAGATTGGTTTCAACCCAAACCCGGTCCATTGACACATATATTCTTATCTTATATCAATGGACCAGATATTGGCTTAATCCAACCCAATCCAATATAAATTTGTTACGAACGGACCAGGTCCAATCCAATCTAATAAATATTTTGGACCGGATTGGTCCAATCCAATATGTCTTCTTGGTCCCACCAATCCGTCCAAATTGATTTTGGACTGGATGGGGTCCAATCCAAAACCGGTCCATTGACACCCTTACATGTAGAGACAGATGATGCCCTAGAGGCCTAACCCCAATTGACCAAAATTAAGTAAATGGAAACTTGGAAAGTTACCTACATGCTAACCAAAAGGAGAACATTGTTCCAACAAATCTGGTTAAACATCATCCACCCCAATCATCACACTCAGTCCAATTCATCTTCAAACAAGACAGCACTCCAACAGCCAAAAGGTTGAGCTGTAATTTTTATAATTTTTCTGTATTTTTAATTATATTTTTATTATTTAATTTATGACATCACAAGTTGACCCATTTGACCCAGGTCATTGGGCTGCTGACCCACCACTACCACCCAGACACAAAAGTGGTTCAATTTCAATTTAAGTATGTCATCTAGCCATACCATGGCATTTTCCTCTCGCTATGGCATGTTCTAACAAGCTAACCTCTCAACTTGTCTCAAGGCTGGTCTACTGCTATATATTACCTAATTCTACTGCTGTTGTAATCTCTTAATTTAGGGTTAGCCTCCTGCCATCATATGTTTAGAGTGTGCTTATTTCTCTACCCTCATTTTCTCATTAATTTGTTAGCTTCTATGTCTCCGTCATTCTAGATCAAATCAGGCAAGTACATGGCCACCAAAAAAACGAAACTAAAAAACCAATAATAAGAGATAATATTTTGTGATAATTATACAAGAGAAGTCAAATAAACAGAAGAGCGATAAGTCATAAAAATACAAAACTGAATATGAAAACTTAATCTAGACAGGAAACAATTGATATTGTCAATGTTCAATTTCTAAAGAAAATGGTGATGAAGCTTTCTACAGGCACACCTAACAGCATACCTGCTAAAGAACCAAATACCAGAGGAAGATTTCCAATCAATATGCTCGGGTCTGCTGCATGAATTTTGGTTGAACCACTTTTTATCAAATTAGCTGCAGAAAGTATGGTGTCCATGGGGTTCTCACCAGAAGATACATATGATGCAAGTAACTTCAAGTAGTTCTCTACCTCTGGAGCAATGACTTCTGCTCTTGAAGATTTAAAAAAGGTTTCAATAATGTTAAAAACATGCCGGGTAAGTGGTGAGAACTGGCAAGTCAACAGCTTATATAGTTCTTTCAAGATTTTCATACTGACTTTGTCAGAAAGATAAGGCGCAATCAGTTTCAGTGCATTCAGCATATGGATGATCTCCAAATGCTCAGATTTTGACAACACTTCACTTTTGGATCCATCTAAGGTTCTTGCAACACTTAACTCAATTGCCAAAGGCATGTATTTTCTGAGCAAAGAGAGTACCATTTTGTTTGCCTTCTTGATGGCAATGGAACACTGAAGAGATTGAAAGACTTTCCCAATGCAAACTTGAGCACATCTGCGAACCTACAACACAAGATTAGAAAAACATAAAATGCTAACAACATAATATTCTGACAGTTCCATACTTCCATGATCAGTTGCCATAATATTTGCCCACCAAAAACCAAGGACAGGAAAAGGATATAAATAATAAACAATTTCCTTTGATGTTTGTCTTCAGACAGATGGTTTCATTGCTTGAAAAAATAAACAACTTTCTTTGATTACTTCAATTGCACTTCCAAAAGTAAGAGTTTACATTTTCACCCAAAACAAACAATGCCTTTCAACACCTTGTTTTGCTAGTACATCTGACAACCCATTTGCAGTCCTTCTAATCCAGATGAAGGTGATATTGAGTTCCCTTGAATGAATGAATTTCTGTGTTGCTGATCAAAAAACAAAAAAAAAATATCTCCCTGAAGGCATGCCTGCACCCCTACTTCTTATGCAGCCGGTATTTCCACTTTCAATGAATTTCCAAATACAGCCAATTTATTTTCATTAGTTAATGATTTTTTTATAGGAAATATATATCATGTATATTAGTTGTTCATTTATGTCAAATAAGCAAGGATTAGAAAGAAAATTTAACATAGAAATGACCCATAAGAAGTCACAGTGCTAGAATTCAACTCATGCCTGACAAAGATATTTCATCCACTTAGGAGAGTCCATGCAGCATTGCTTCCAAGAAAAGGAAGCGGACCATCCAAATCCACCTCACCAAGATTTCCCAATCCATCAAAGACCAATAAGAAGTAGTTATTCACCTACAGGTGACAGGAAGAAACACCAACCATCTCCCTATATTTGTTTTGTTCTCTAGGATACCTTTAGGCATGTTGATGTATCTTTGTGGCTCCTTTCTCGTGGGGTCTCATGCTCTCATGCTTTCCATTTCCACCAAAATCATAAAAAACAAAACAGAAATATCCCAAATGGATTCAGTAACTGTAGATTAGAAACCAAGTCCTAAAACTGTGGTAATATATATATATATATATATATATATATATATATATATATATATATA